GCATTGATTTCAAACTGATGAATCGTGAATAAAAGATGACGCAAATAATAGTTGGCTTACAGTATTCTGGATGTCAATACAAAATCTGACTTAATCAGCAATGATTTTAGATCCTCCTTTCCATAAGGGTGTGTGTGTTTGTGTGTTGTGGGGGGGATTTAGGGAGTGGTGCTGTCTATATGTAGTTCTCAGTTTTTCTATAGAGCAGTATTAAACTATGTGGTTGTCTAAAGTTCTCTTTTTCTTTTTGCCTGTCTGGCAGATTCATTCATTGTCAGCTGACTCTACACTTTGTATAAAATTGCTACAGAATTTCTATGTGTATAGAAGGGCCATACTTGAATCCAAAGCATTTTCTCCATTAAACCTGCTACTACTACAGTAGATTTGGTAGTGGTATTGTTATTCAGATAGGAGAAACTTGACAGATTGAGACAGAAATTATTAAAGCAGACATTAGTGAGTATAAATTCTATATTTTATTCAACTACTGTACAGATAATTAATTCAGCCAGATATAAAAGTGGGTGTAATAGTGCAAGGGTGATTAGCCCCTACTACAGGAAAATAACTCACTTTTAACTTTTCCGGCGTTACACCCCATAATGCAGTGTAGTTGTTATAATATAATTATATCAATCTCTGAAAGAAATAAATCATGCTACTTTTCAATACTGACAATTGGGTAACATTAAATAAGTGTTGTACAGCTTAACAAGCTATTGTACAGCAATCGGTCAAATTTACTGTTCAGTCACAGTTTTCCAGAGTAATTAACCTATGAATTACATCTTTAAAAGTGAGGGAAATTCCCTAGCCACATGTCTTAGGGACTGAACTACCAAGGCCACAAAACTGATATCCATTGTGATGGCTGTGTTTGAAGTGCATTGTCAAGGGTGAAGACAATCTCAGAATGAACTCATGTTTCACTGGATTACTTCCCATATTGCTTTTATATATGAACACCCATTTATTTAAATAAATGCAGGAACTGACCTTTGAAGTTTTTTTCCCTCTTCAAAAACTCATACTTCGATAACAAGCTCAAAATAGAGGTCAAAACATTTCTACATAAAAAATACTCTTCAATCATTTTGCTGAAAATCAAAATCTGCATTGATTTGAAAATCAAGGAGCAGGGACCAACCTAGACCCAAAAATTAGGGAGGCTTCACTTCTCCCTCAGAGAAATTTAGGGAGAAGTTTTGAAATTTAGGGAGACTTCTTGGCGCGCGTGACGCCCACTGATCTTTATAAAACTTTTTAAAAATGAAACTATTTCATTGCTTATAACTTGAAATACTTTTCTATAATTTTTTTCTGTATTGAAATCCTAGTAAAAATAATTTAAGAAGGAGAAAAAGAATCTGAATTTTTTTCCAATTACAAGGTATATCTAGCAAAAAAAAAAAAAGAACAACAACAAACAAAACAAATCAAAAAAAATTAATAATGACAATGTAAAAGTTTTTTTTTCATTTTTTGCATAGGCTAATAATTAATATGCACATTTAACTTTTAAATTCTATCATTTCATTTTAAACTTTCAGCCTCATTGCATAGTCATAATTTTGTTATTATCTCTTTAAAATTTGTTTTCAATCTTAATTTTTTTTTCTGAAAAAGTTTTGGTGTACTACGTACTGCATGCTGATTGAACTCTGTATATCAGACGTGTAATTTCTTAGACAGTCAATAACTACACAATTTAACAGTAAAATAGGTCTGTATTCACAGCATGAATTAATTATTTGGCAATAAAAAGATCTAAAATCATCTTCAACATCTTTGGCATGACATCGATATAGCTGACCAGCTGTTTTGCGTCTGGTTGTGCATAACTTGTAACGATGGACTTTATCATACCCGGAAGTGTAAAATCTAGAGGAGTTCCGTCAGAGTATTCGATGCATTGGACATTAGTAGCGAAACAGGTGCAAATGTCCTGCTGTTTCGTTTATTTCAGCAGCAATAAAACAGGATTTATAAACTACTGACGATTCTACCATGTTTCTTAATAGATTTGCTTCATGATTTTCAATAATGGGGTTGCAAATGTTAGGGCGACTTTAACTTCGCTTTCATGATAAATTACGGCGAAGTTTGGAGCCCAAAAGCGACTATTTCGCCTCAGTCGCCCCCTCGGTTGGTCCCTGAAGGAGTAAATAAACTTTGGGGTAAAAAATTATCTGGAGCTCTGTCTTCATCTCAACAGGTTAGACATTACAAAAAAAAAATCTTTTGAGCAGTAAGGCCAGGTAAATAGCAACACCCGACTTTAAATACAGGTGGGAGATAACTCTTAAACTTTGACCCAAATTCTTACTGTATAAAAATACATGAAAATACCCAAAAATAAAAATAAAAAACATCGGGCGGGACATTTTGAGAGGGGCAGGCGGGGATGAGAATCTAAAGACTAATTTTATAAAGCCTAATCTATATCAATAAACAATAAAACAAACCTAATCTCTTCAGAAAAGTGGACAGGCTTTCACCTACATTCACTTTTTTATGTATATTTTTCCTCCATATCATTAGTCTCGTTCAACCAGACCCTCGGCTGTCTCCGTAAATCTCCGACCAACCAGAGGGTCTGGTAAAGATACGCAATATCGTTTGTAACGCCAAAATGAGGCTTACTGAAATTCTGGTAAAGTTTTTGATTGGCTGAAAAGAACACACCTACACAATTTAAATAAATACATGATAAGTCGGCAGAAAAATAACTTAAAGATGTAAAAGTTATATGTCTGAAAGTTAAAACTGTTAGATAGGAATTGTTTACAGTAATGCCCACCAGTTATAGGTAAGTGTATAAGTGTGTATCTTGCAAATATTCGGTACAAAAGCAAAAGTGAAAGTAGTGTAGCCCTACCTGCGTAATACACATTCCTTCGATTGATATAGCAATTTCTCGTATGGTGTCCCAAATTAAAGATTAATTAATTTATATAAAGACACAATCCAGAAGAAGAAACACATATAACGTTTGTTTTCAAAAAGGATCGTCAAAATGAAAACAAGATAGCGCCCTCTGACGGTTACAAACGCTAACATGATTCTTTACCAGACCCTCTGGGTGGTCGGAGATTTACAGAGACAGCCGAGGGTCTGGTTGAACGAGACTAGCATATCGTCAACATGCATATGATTAAGGTTTATGCTATTTGCTACAATCTATTTCTACTGTTCTGATGAGGATATCCATCATGAATAATTGGATAAGCTGAGATTGAAGACACTTTTTGTAAAAATATTGATGCTTTTATCAAAGTTTTGAGCCAAAAATATTTAATTTATACCTTGCCATAAGTCGTAAGTTCCAAAAAACAAGAGTTGGCTATCCGAAAAGTCAGAAAACACATGTATTCAAACCGGATGTTCTACAGTCTGAACTTAAATACGAAACCATGCTCGGTGTAATCTGAACTTAAATACGAAACCATGCTCGGTGTAACTATTATCATCCGGATAATTTGAGCGGGGTTAAAAATATTTTTTTTTTAATTCCGAAAAGAATTCATTTATATATAGAGAGAGAACATATATATGGACTAATTATGGAGCATACATTTTAATACACATGATAAGAAGCGAAACGTTGCCATTTTACAACATACAGCATGTACATGCACGGTGACTTTGGGGCCTCCATAATCAAAGTTATGCTATATCACTGTCTCAATTTTTTTCCTCTCTCTCTCTCTCTTTCTCTCTGCAATATATACACTTAACAATTTAAAACTTAGGTTTCCAACTTTTCAAAATGGCGTCAGAATAGAAGTTGCCACCGATAGTGAAGATTTGTTGTTGCCAAATATTACAACTATTTACCGTAAAAAGTTGACAAAAATATACGTATGTAACAGGCTTGGGGGTTGTCGAATGAAGACTAACGACCTGTTCAGGGTTCTTGGACAAGACTTTATTTACCAGATATGATTTAAACCCATTCTATGGGAATAGGTGTGTATACATAACAGCAAGCAGCAATGCTGCAGATGTACAAATCATAGTCTGAGTGGTCAGAAGGAGAAGAAAGTCAGTCTCTATGATAAGGTCTGATTGTCAAAATGTCAGCACACTATAAATACATCATCACTGACCAAACTCTGGACAAAGAATGTCCAGAAAACCAAAAACCTTCTGGAGGGAAAAATACTAACCAATCCCCAAGTAAAACACAAAGTAAAACACCAATGAAATTAAAAGAAACATCCAACATTAGGCCTGGATATAATTAATGACCTAAGGCCATTTCTACCTATATACACCTTTGACAGACATGGGTGAATGCACACTAAAGGCTTTAAACTGAATAAGTATATTATTCAACATGTGCATTTCAAATCAAATTAAATATAACTAGAAACGATCTCGTTGCGAGCAACGAGAGGTCTTCCGTCCGCTTTAGGAAAAGAAACCCAGGAAAAATCGAGCTGAAAAGAGATTCAAAATTTGGTCACAAGGAGGATTAAACCCATGTCGCCAAAGTGAATGCGCTTTTTTAAAAAATACTTTTTTATCCCCAACGCGCTTACCATTAAGCTATTGTGAGTACTGCTCTAAATATACTTGTGTATACTTTTGCAACAGTTCACCTTCTAAGAATTATAAAAACGCATTTATAATTTCATGCCAAGCGCCACGAGTAAATATTCGCGCCTTTTCTTTGGACTGATCTATTAAATAGGTATTATAGCTTCAATTAAATTTCAAAAATAAAACATTCTTAGCGCCTTTATTTTATTTCGACGTTAAGAAAGTATATGTAACACATTATACACATTACATATCATATCTAGCCCAGTTACACTAAAGCAGTGAAACGGAAATTAAGTTTTAAGATTGACACTCAATTGCAACGTTCTACTGTAACGTGTCGGACCTGAGCGGTCAGTAGGTCCGTGCTCGGATTACCGAGTTTTACTGGGGATACGATTGAATGCAATATATACGGATAATAATATGACACCTGCCTGGTGTCTTTAAAGCCATATATGGCGTATGTACAGTAAAAATTGCTAGACTAAAATTATAAGAAGTTATTATTTGTTTCATTACTTTATATAAAGATAAAACTTTTCCGTAAATTACAAAATCTAAGTCAAATGCGTTACAAAGATATTACAATTTAATTTGAATTCTCTTAATTTTATCCGTATCGGAAGAAAATACAAAAGATTTGAATAACCCCGCCTTAATTTGATCACGTGATACCATATTTGGACAAATCAACAACAATGGCGACAGTGCGAAAGCGAGGAAGACCAGCAAGTTTAACGGATTCGACAAGAAAAGAGCGAAAGAGACAATCAGATAGGGAGAGGGGTAAAGAGAAGATTTTTATCGGAGATCAGTTAGAAAGATGGAATGCAGTTAGAGAAGAACTTGACATGAAGTTCAATCATGAAGTTGCGGGATTCCTACTTGACAGGTTCGTGTACCATGTGCACTGTATTTCATTTTATAAAAGTTTGGTTTGCAGCCTAGATAAAGTCTATTGTTCATTTTTTTAACATATTAGACATGCAAAAACTGGGTTTTATGTATTAAAATACATGAAAAAATATCTGAAGTTTCGTTCATATACGCCTAAAGCACTTTTTAATTTTCAGATGTAATGGGGCCCCCAAAGGGGCATTTTTGAGAACGTATAAGCTGATGCTTAAAAATAGATATATTTCGTTTGAGATTTTTTTTACCATTCCTCAGAAATAACTGTGTAGCTATGATTAATTAATTTATAAACCAGATATGAAGCAGAGCGGGATGCACAGAAGGAAGTACATGTTGCTTCATCAACCCCAAGAGCAGGACTGAAAACCACACACTTGACGGGAATCCCACAGGGATTATCAGACATCTCTTCTGGAGAATCTGGGAAACAAGCAACAGATCCGTAAGTTTTAATATGTTGTCATATGGGATATTCTCTTATTTCCCCCATTTTTTAACATGAATGTAAAGTTTATCTCTAGGTGTTCTTGTAAAATTAATTTGTTCCTTTCAAGAGGTACGGCTGGTAGCATTATAACAATATTCTTCAGCATAGTCTCAATTTTTTTTCGGTAAGTCAAGTAATAAAGGCTAGCTTTCTCGAGGCTTCCTAGCTGAATGCATGATTTGATATTGTAATAGATAAATATATATTCAGTGTCAAAAATATGTTCTGCAGAATCATGTCAGGAGTTGAAGAACTGGATGAGTCTGGTCCAGGACCATCAACAAGGTACTGTAACAGTTATTATTATTTGTTATAAATAGCAATATGATTGGAACTTTAAAGCATGATTGTGAATACTTTTTCTTACATTAGAGAATGGAAGTAAAATTTCCTCAATAGAAAATGTTACAAATTAAAGCTTTATTCCTCGAAACGATCTATAATTTCTCATTTGTTTTTCATATTTAGATGTAAAATTCATCTTTAATAGGATGAAAAAAAAAACTGCTTCAAATTTATTCTTCATAAATACTGTTCTTGTATTGTAATAGCTAAAAATATGTAATTTGATATTGCAGCAAAAAAGCAAAGGGAAAATTTTCTTCATCCTTTTTTGATCCCTTGGAGTAAGTACCGGTTCTCGAATGTATCTTTTAATCAATTTAAATTATTTGTTATATGATTGATTTTTTTTTACTGACCATGCAAGTAATTGGGTAATGAAATATATATAATCTTTAATTCAGATTAAGTATTGACATCACAGAGGAATCAGAGGATGAAGATGATGATGATGATGATGAATATCAGCCAAGTTTTAACATATCCTTAGGGTAAATATAAATAATCCACAATATAAATAATCCACAGTAGAATGTCCTTCGTTTTTGTCTCATTTCTAATATCTAATATTTTGATTAAATTAAGCAATCTATTTAAAATACTCGCTACACAAACATCTAACAACATCCCATTGAGGGTCATGACAGAGGTCAATATCTATCAGCCAATCAAAATGTTGCCTGCTAAATCAACGTATGCATTGTTGAAGCGAATAAGTCTAGAGCTATTACAAATTTGACTGCTGACGTGACCCTCAGTGACTTGTTGTAAGATGTTAGTGTAGCGAGTATGCAGGTGGATCTAACATCTGATTATAAGAAGAGTTGTGGTTCAGGTATTCAATACATCATCTGATGTATTTGCCTTTATTAAAATAATAATTAATATTATATTTTAGGCCAAAAGATGTTACAGGCATTGAAGACTGCTCAGGTATGGAAGCAGTGTTCCCAGCAGAAGAAGAGGAGGAAGATGAGGAAGATGAAGTAGAAGATGCAGACTTGGGAGGGGGGCCATCAATCACAAGAGTACTTCATGTTGATGACATTCCAGATAAAGTGAAAACAAATGTAATGACTCTAGTTTTCCTGGACCAGCTAATAGCTTTAGCAAACCTTAAAGTGACCAGGGTTTGTCAAGTGGAAGGTTGCGGGGAGGATGTAAACATCGTTGTACATCACGTTGGATCGGCATTGTATTTGAAATGGGTACGTTTTAATGACAGCCATATATTGCAATGGTATGCATACAATAAAAATAAAATACAGTATAAATGTTTATTTCAATAGAATTTCTTTATTTTATAGGTTTGTGCTAAATCTCATGAAGCTGAGAAATGGTGCTCTCAACCTCTCTTAAACAGGGGTCTACATGCTGGAGACTTGATGATCTCAGCTGCCATTCTTTTTTCGGGAAACAATTTCCGAAAAATGGAACTCTTTGCTAGGTTTCTGAAGTTAAGATTTCCAGGGCAATCAACATTCACAAGACTACAGAACAGATACCTTGTGCCAGCTGTTGATGAGCTCTGGAAAGCAAAACAGGCGGAGATAATGGATGAGCTAACTGACAAAAACCTCATTATTCTTGGTAATAAAAGTATTCTTCACGCAATGTTGACTTATTCTGATGGCAAGTCCTAATTTATAATATTACATGTAACAAAATTTTTTTATAATACATGTCATATATATATAATATATTTCAGGGGATGGTAGAATGGACAGTCCAGGACATTGCGCCCAGTACTGTACCTACACTTGTATGGAGGATAATAGCAAAAAAATCAT